CTGGAGGCGACCGGAAGTCAAAGAAACTTCAAACTGCAAAGGAGGAGAAAGCTAAGAGAAGCCATGAGTACTTCCTCTCACGGCAACATCAAAATGATCCATCCTCTGCAAAGTCACCGCACCCTATGGAGGAAGCGATTTTCAAGATTTCAAAAGAACTGATGGCAGAGGTCCTTAACCACCCGTCAATGCCAAAAGGAAAATTTGTCCCAAACCAAGGCCCTGTTGATTTTACAAGTGGGAATGCTTGGGAAGTGAAATATGACGAGGATGATGACAGATCTGCAAATGGAATTGGGGACTACGGAATTGGTGCATCAAGTGATGATGACAAATTATCAGCTTCATCAACAAGGTATCGCCAGTCGTACACGCCAAGGCTGGCTGTAGTAGTATCATGCTAGTACTATCTTGGAAACCCTTTGCCGGACACTTACCTGATTTCTTTCATGGAGGGCCACCCTAGAAACAAAAAATGACTAAAGAACAGGAGACATTTGATAATCTTTCAAAAGCAAAATAAGAAGATCCATTATTTGCTACAGAACTTTGTTCATTCTTAGTACTAATATGCTGGTGCTCAGCTTTTTTTAAAATTTTGTTTTGTATGGAATTAGAAGCTATGAGGAATGATAAGTCTGTCCTAGTAATCAAGCAACAACGAGGGTGTATTCTTGGGTAAAGTAGTCAAGAAATGGAGACCACTGTGACCATCCTCCTTGACAAACGCAACATACAACAATTAAACACACCTAGAGCGACGCCATTTCTCTTTTGTTTGATGGATTCGCCCGAGAAATGGCTTGATAAGTCTGTAGTAATCAAGTGACGCTGCCAGTGTATTATTGGTTGAATGCAAACCATATCAAGGCATGAGCGACTTGTTTCATCAACATGATGCACAATGGAAGCATCCAATAATCAAACTTGTGTTGTTGAGCAACGCCATTTCACTTCTGCTGGATGGATTGTTCTCAGAGATGCCTTGATAAGTCTGTAATAATCAAGCAACAACAACTTGATGAGTCTGTAGTAATCAAGCAACGAGGACTGTGTAATATCAAGACATGAGCAACTTGTTTCATCAACATGGTTGACGATCACAACATATCACAATCAACCTTACCTGGAGCGACGCCAATTCTCTTCTGCTGGATGGAGTCTTCTCAGAGATGGCTTGATAAGTATGTAGTAATCAAGCAACAACGACAATGTATTGTTGGGTAAAGTAGTCAAGCAATAGCGACCACTGTCATGGTCATGAATGCAAATCGCAACCTTCAACAATCAAACTTACCTTGAGGGACACCATTTCTTTTCTTCTGGATCGATTCTCTTCAGAGATGGCTTGATACTAAGTCTGTAGTAATCAAGCAACGACAATGGTGTATTGTTGGGTGAAGTAGTTGAGGATTGATGACCCCCGTCCTCATCTTCATGATTCACAATTGCAACATCCAACAGTCAAACTTACCTTGACATACTCCATTTCTCTTCTGTTCGGTTGATTTGATAAGTCTTCAGCAATCAAGCAACAACGATGGTGTATTGTTGGTTGAATGCAACAAAACCATATCATGACATGAGCGACTTCTTTCATCAACATGATGCACAATGTAAACATCCAACAATCAAACTTACCTTGTTGAGCGACGCCATTTCACTTCTGCTGGATGGATTGTTCTCAGAGATGGCTTGATGAGTCTGTAATAATCAAGCAACGACAACAGTGTAATGCAACCAATGGCGAACACTGTCATGGTCATAATTGACATTCGCAGCATATCACAATCAACGTTACCTCGAGCGACACCATTTCTCTTCTGCTAGATGGATTCTCCCCAGAGATGGATTGATAAGTCTGTACTGATAATCAAGCGACGACAACGGTGTATTGTTGGGTAAAGCAGTAGTCAAGCAATGGGGACGACCACTGTCACAGTCATGATTGACAATCATAACATATCACAATCAACTTTACCTGGAGCGACGCCATTTCTCTTCTGCTTGATGGATTCTTCTCAGAGATGGCTTGATAAGTTTGTAGTTACCCAAGCGACGGCGACGGAGTATTGCTGGTTGAATGCCAAACCGTATCAAAGGCAGGAGCGACAAAAATGTTTTGCATTTCATGGACAATGGACTAACTAGACCGCAGTTGTTCTTTGGTTTTTAGTGTTCTTAATTGTTGGAAAAGAAACGATTGTCATTGGCTTAAGGTTTTCCCTCCACATTTGCTTAGTTTGTAAGCGACACCTTAGTTTTGATTGGCTGATATACCTTAGCTTCCGGGTTACTTTAGAGGTAGTATTTGATTTTCAAATACTCCAGTGTCGCTTACATCATCCGTGAATGAATACCGTTGGATCACGGATTGCCGTGGCCTTAGTACGAAAAATACGTCGTTTTCAAATACTCCCTGTGCACATATATATCACATGTGCCGAGCATGAGCCCACACATTCGTACTCGGGATTGGGTCCGGAACTGACAAACCCGGATTTTGACCAAAAAGTGCCACGATTCGAAATGAAAATCACAGTGACCATGGCTTCCATCTTATTGCGTAGTTCGTACGATCGATGGTGATCACTGATGAAATAACATCCTTTGGAAGCCTTGCAAGGTAGACTTTGATGAGATCATCTGTGCTTGGTGGGAAAGTAGCAGTAGCAGTAGCGGCATCTACGCAACAATCATACTACATGGATGCTGGTTCCGGCCTACAGTTCATTTCATTTCATTTGAAGTATCCCTCCCCGGATCTCTTTTCGAAAAGGGCCTGGTCGGTTTTATTATAAAATGCTTTGTAGACAAAGAAGTGGATTTGATCTGGGTTCCGACGGTCCGATTGATTCATTCGTTTGGCATGGTGCTCGATTCACAAAGAGACCATATCAATATGCTCTGGAATCCCAATTTTTGCGATCAAGGCAGAAACCCAAAATAGAATTGCAGTCTCTTAAGATTTGGACTGACCAGAAGAAGGTTGTGGATACTATCATAGATAGTCTACAACCAAAGGTCCAAGAAGAATCCATATTTCAAAAAAGTCGCTCCGCTGTTTCGAATCAATCGCTGGTGGCTGGGTGGTTCAGTTCGTGCGCATGTCCTATTTGCGCTCGCCGTTGGTTGCAATGCATCGCTTTGATACACGAGGGCCAAGTAGGAAGGCACAACCAGATCACATATTGATTTCTGAGGGGGGGGGGGGTGTCACTTTCTGAAGGATGCAGTGGTGGAAGCATCAAGATGCATGCCCAGCTGCAGAAGGGAGCCATCCACTGTACCATCCATGCTAGACAATGGGCGCATTCGTCGATTCAAGCGAAATGCAATGTCGTTAGCATCTTGGTGTGTTCTGCACAAAGCCTTCTGAAACCAGAAGTATATGCAATCTTGGCTTACTGGTGAAACCCTCGAATGGCATTGAAAGGGTAAAGAACAAATCAACAACTTGCCAGCTGTCAGCAGTTGGGCCAACAAACCATCCAGATTCCGCCATTCAAGACACCACTTCATACTGGTAGTAATGGTTTCCGAACCCCTGTGAATACAGTCAACAAATGCATTTGTGAGTTCCGATGGTTCATGCACTAAATGAAAGCAGTTAAAGGACTTTAAGAGCAAGATGGAACAGATGATGGCGCGCTCGTGGATGAAGTCAAATCATCTGACTCCGATTGAAGTAATGCACCGCTCCGAATACATAGATTGATGATGCTCCTGTCCTATGCGATGGTGATTGTGCGTGGTGCAGTCACTTCAGTTTAGAACTCGAAAGGACCTCCTCCTCTATATGGTGCTGGTTACGAGAACGATGCAAAGAACTCAAAAGGACCTCTTCTATATGGTGCTAGTTACGAGGACGATGCAAATATTCCCGGATCCATTCATTGAGGACAGAATTGTGATGTACGTTGCGACGCGGATTCCTCCGCCATGTCGGTCAAATGCAGAGCTCCAACGAGCCCTTTTCTATGATTACAAGTATGGTACGACTTGGACCAAGGGAGCAGTCAGCAATCGACTTTGAGGGAGCGGATACGATGGATACCTGTAGTTCTCAAGGACTCAGAGGTACTGGTGGAGCAGCGGAAATTTTCAGAGGCAGATGCTCAACGCTACAAGATGTCGTGGTTCGTGAAACGTTGGCTACGCATTTCAACAGTACTGATACTTTGTGGCATTTGGGAGGTTTGGACCATTCAAGTGAACTTCATTTACGACATGTTTCTCTATATAGTAGTTATAGTTATTATGCATTCTTTCCATAGTAGTTGATAGCTCAATAGGGTGGTAGCTATTCAGCATCAAAGCTACAGTTGACGCAGTTCCTGACCCCGCATTGACACCATATAGCCGAAGGAGGTTCCCTGTAGTAGTCAAAAAGCTCCAGACAAGGGTTACAGCGGCATACGCCACACTATCTGAAGTGTTGACGGTTTGTTCCAAGCAGCGGCCATTGAAAGCTCCTTGATCAGAGGCATAATGCTAAAAGTTCAGAGAAAAGAGGAGCAGCAAAGAAAACTGGGTTAGATTAATGAATACGAATGAATGCATCAAATCAATCAATCAATCATTACAACACCCAGCCAGTCAATTGCAGCACTGTACCACATACCGGATTGTTATAGGTCGTTTCACATCCAGCATCTTCTCCTTGCATAGTATTGCATGAACAGCATTCGGACTGGATCATGGGGTTCTCAGGCAAGTTGGCATGGCAGTCGTCCAAGTTTTCCCCGGGCCCATAAGAGACTCCTTGGATATCGACCGTGTCGGACAAGATGCCTCCATATTTCATCATATTGGCCAATGTAGGTCGGGTTCCATCATAGGTATCCACCACTTCCTGAAACACTGCACCGGCCACTTCTTGTTGTCCTTGGCAGCCATTTGTGTTGCAGAAACTCCACAAGATGACACTGGGATGGTTCCGATCCCGTTTCATTGACGAGTGCCTTCATGTTCTCTAACTACTTTGTTTTATTCCCAAAGAGCCAATTCTCATTCAAAACCACCATGCCCAATCGATCGTACAAGTCCAACAGAGTCGGATTGGGCGAATTGTGAGCAGTACGTCGGAAGCTGCCACCAATATCATACTGCGAGAAGCTTGGGCTCGAAAGAGATTGATACTGCAGGGCCTAGTAGGAGAAAGAAATGCGACAGAGCGTAGTGATACATCAAGAAGAAGGGCCAATGACAAAAGCAAGGCGTTGTCAATCACAAATCATAGCAAATCACCAATCTTCCTTAACCACACGATGCAGAAGCTGGTATGTGTGCACTTCCTCATACAATAAGTGAAGAAAGAGGTTATCCTCCACTTGGTTTCAAATGGCGCTTGACGCCGCTGTGGCTGCGTGGGGTTTGAAGATTTCTTATTGTGTCCCCACGACAGGAAAGACAGTGTCGAGTACAAATGGTCAATTCCATTCGAAGGGGTTTGAAAAGCCAGCCGTATTTTGGGTCTGTAGTCAATGACTTTTGAATGGTGTGACAGATGGTCGACCCGACAAGACATTTGAAACCAAGGGCAAGCACGAAGTCAAGCTGGTGGAATCTTTGGAGTCTCCCAACAGTTGGGACTGCACTAAGGGCAATATAACGAGAACCATTCATGTCTACTCGAATTCACCATTCATCCTTTTGTTTGTCAACAATACTTCCCAAGGAATACTTCCCGTGGCGTCCATGGTTCGAGGTGAAGGGTCGTATGCGGAATTTGAAGACATGGAATGGAAGGCTTGTTCTCGTGCAGCTGTTGCTCGGATGGAAGAAGATGACGGCGCGGCAGTATCCACAGAAGTCGCAACTTGTGGTCCTCCACTCGCTTTGAAACTGAGTATCCATTGCCCTTTGCCTCACACTGGAACAGAAAGTGCCCTCTTTTTGAATGGTCAAGATACACTATGTTATAGTTGGGTACAGTATATGGTTCTAGCTAATAAGCTACATAGCCGTATAGAAAGATTTGGGCGTCTCGTCAATTGGTCCAATGAAGTCTATGGGGATGATTTGAGGTGCGTGGTCTATTCAGCATGATCATGAATACTCGCATTGCCCCACAGTTCCTTGGGCATCGGCACTTCAACACACTCAATACATAAATTAGCGAAAATTACCAAGAACAAGCAGGTGTTGAAACTCTTGGAAGATGCCGAGTCTGTCAAGATGCTGACACATTTTTCGAGATAGTCCTTCTGAAGGTCCGGATTTTCACAGCCAATGAGAAAACAAGGTCTCTCGGTGCCGTCGATGTAGGCTTGAAGTGGCGCGATGTTGAAAAGAGGCGTATCGTCATGTATAGCAGGGATCACGTCGCTCGATTGGATCATGAAATCCACCTCAACAACCATTTTATTTGCTGTCAAGGATTTTGAGTTACATTCTTCGACCATCTTGGGTAGAATGTGACAATAGTGATCGTTGAAGTAATTGTTGACCAGTCTTTGAACAGCAGTTACTTCCTTTGCATCGGCTGCTGTACGGACACAGATTTGCCTGTGATGCAGCCTCCAATCAGCGTTTTGACACTGTATCAAACAATAGAGAGCTTTGTTGCATCGACTACACATCTTGAGAGGGCATTCTGAAGATTCCACATCCCAACATGTATTGCAGGTTTCATTCGTCAAATCCGACAGATAGGAAATCGCATGCAACCTGTTGATCACTGGGGGGTCTAATTCATTGGCTTCGTCATCCTCTGCTATGATTGCCCGCAAAATGTCACCACAAGGTGCTCCAATCTTGAAACACTGGCTCAAAACATAAGGACAGGATTGAAGCTGGTCGAGCAACTCTTCCAGAAATGAATCAATTTTTCATCGGGACCTAGCAGGAACGTTCGAGTGGAACATCAAAGGGCTTGCTCAAGAATGCCCGTTTTCTCTAGCTTCCAAAACACCCGTTCTTTAGACCAGGACAATTTCCCTGCGCATGTGTTGAAAGCGGAGTCTACAATCCAAATGATGCTTTGACATTCATCATTGGATGGGAATGCGTTGGTACTTCCTTGCCGGGCTGTCAAGAGCTGAGTTAAAGCTTCAAAGAAATTGCTCTTAAAAGCTAGACTGACAGGCACTTGGTGCTCAAACATGTTATGACAAGATTGCAAAGTAGCATAATCATTAAAGTCCAACGTTCCTTGCTCAATCCAGCTTATCTTGATTGTGATCTTTTTGATTTTGTCAATGGCAAATTCCAACCAACACTTGCTTTCAGCCTCTGCCAGTTTCTCGCGAAAGAGCAATGTATCTACGCTTCAAGAGAAGCATCTAATGGCCTCGTGTGCATGTCCAAGTTGGTCCAACAGATCTTGACGACTATTCAGCCCCGGAATCAAGCGGATAATTTTGATTCGTTTGATTTGGGTTGAAAGAAAGGTGGAGGACTTTGTTTGCTCCTTCTTCCGTATCTATATCAGCAGGACTTCCATGTGGTAGCATTACGATGCATTACATGGTGAGAGGCAAGATAATAAGAGAGTACAGTATCGGCTTGGACGCTTTTATGTTTTCAGATTTGTAAAAAGTGTTTGATTTTTGAATCAATCAGCACGCCTGTCAGCTTCCAAGGAAGCGATCGAGCGAGCGCTCGATCGATGACAGACGGAATGAATGTCAACTTCAATATTCCCATCATTCATGATTCACGCAATCTGAAATCTCAAATCATTACTGTATCTCAGTCAACTGAATCTAAAACATAATATACGGTATGCTGTCAATAGAAGAAGGATACAATGACTCGACATCAGATCTAGAGGGAAAACAGTACACCACAGCACCCATTGGCACAGTTTGTGCCTCACAGAATGGCATTGAAACAAGGAAATGACGGCCACAATTAAGAGTCAGTCGTACCACATTATTGACCAGAAATTTGCCAGAGTTCCATGTTGTTGTCTCACTACGGAGTATGTTTGGAAATTTTTGGTTCCGTTTCAGTCCAATGCAGCAATTCTACTGTTGGGGTTATCTGTTGACCAAAATTGTCGTCGAGGAACCCATGGCATTGCATCCCAGTATCATTAGTACGGATCCATTGGGAGTCAGAAGGGCCTTGTCACAGGGACACAAATGGCGGAAGTGGACTTCCGCCACTGCTTAAGCTTTTGTCAATCAGCAGACTCAGTTTCACAGGACGACAACGACAACACCACTTCAAGCACTTCCTAGACGCACCTCCAAAGCATGATGATTCACTCATTTGACCACCAATTGAGATATTCCAGTCTTGCTGCACAATTAAAAAATGCTCATACAGTAGAACCATATTGTAGTAATCAATTATAAATAGTATCAGCTTCTGTAGTAATCAATTATAAATAGTATCAGCTTTTTGTAGGTATATTCATCTAAGCCAGTACTATATTCTGAAAAAATACACAATTAAAAACCACACGCAAATCCGGGTTCAAAAACAGCACCTCTAGTACTTCTCCTACACGGAGCAGCCGTAGCGACGCCGAAAATGAGGTTGTTTTCAACTGGAAAACAAAGGACCAAGATGAGCAAAAGAAAGACAGGCAAGGGCGCCAGGGCACAAAGGGTATCCGAAAACGATTCCTATCATGCTCCTGTAAGCCTTGTCCAAAAAGAACGGGGAAAAGTGGACAAAATCTGCCCATTTGATGCTTCTGCCTTTTTGGGTCTGTTGGACGA